ACATACATACATACATACATATATACATACATCCAGCCAACATACACACATGCAACTATACACAACAACCGCATTTAACTTCGTGTTATTGGTGCAGCAGCAGTTGGAGGGGGGTGGGTACTGAGTGTGGTAGGAACTAATTGCTGGTTGATTGTTGGTTGTTCATAGAGTCCTTAAGCATCTATAAGAATAAGCCATTTGCACAGGAAAACTTCAAATATGGAGAAAGGCGCAGTGCTCCTGTAATAATCATTTTTTGCTTCAAAGTAGATACTTCGAAGTGCTTACTTCTTTGTCCCCAATTATTTCAAAAGTTAATTTACAGTATTGACTACTTTTTATTTTTACCTCTGGAATATAAGTGTAAAAGAAGATAGAAATGAAATTATGAAAATAACTTGTGACCCTGTGCATTGAGAGTTAGACGTATTACAACGGAGGGACTTCACAAATTCATTTAAGCTAAGAAAAATAAGAGTCTTTTCCAATTTAACTGCATTTCCTACGAGAGTGAAAACATGGAAATAGTTGAGGAAGGAGTATACACTATGATTAACCTGTCTAGTTCTAATTCATCCCACTAAAATGATCATTTTCACCGATTACGTTAACCTTGTGCCTAACACATTGCTTACGTTCTTTGTTTTTCAAGGATTTATTATAAACGCCTACCTCTCAAACACTCTTCCTGTCTTTAACCTATTACTAGAACGAACCAAACGGTTTTTTTTCAGCAAATAACGGACTTGTTTCCCCTCCTTTATAGCAAATGAATGAATCTACAGGATGTCATGAATCAATAAGCATAATATGTACCACAACTCTGTTTGTTTGTCACCTTTTCTTAGATTTTTATTCCCTTACAATAAACAACCAATATGTCTGCACAAAACAATTAGTGATTGAAGACTATAAATAGAGCTTAAATTCCGCCAACCAACTAAGCCACCCATCAGAATTCATAGGAATATCCTGAAATGACAGTATATTTCCTAACTCTTTCTAGCAGTCACCGGAGATAAAAGAAGGAACCAGTTCCTGAAGTAGGAACTTCAGTCCCTTTCTTCTTTACAGCTGAGCAGAGATACATAGTGAAATACTGGCTAATATAATTGTATTCACTTCTCTTTGTCTTCAGTACGAATGATAAATTTCATCACTTTATTTGATTAAAATATAAAAAACAACGAAAAGGAATACAAATGTCATAAAATGCTTGTTTATATGCTCGATAATATGATTTAGATTTATGTGAGATGCGCACTGTACAAGAGGGAACAGTAAAATAACAAAACAAAGAAATCTGTAAAAAAATTTCTCTCTTTAATGGTAAAACATACAGGCAAGAGATACTACGTGTTGCTAGTCTATGCTTTAAAATACCACATCTTCAAGAACTCCAAAACCACAAAAACAAACAACTTTCGCAATGGAATATAGGTTCTACAACCTACAATAAGTTCCGAAACCATTCATGAACAAACTGCAGGTACAAGGGATTGTTCCTCTATCCGATCCAGTCAAATTTGACTGAATTAAGGACGACGAAATTAATAAAACAACAAAAGAAATATACATCCCTCAGTAATTCTGAAATGAGAAACAACAAAAAGAAAAAACGAAGCAGAAATACACTTTCAGAATCAAGATTATGTAAATGAATTTCCTTTCCCACAAAGAAATATTCAGACTTTGCAAGTGGCTTATACGCATAATCATGTTACATTTATATGTATAAAAAGTTCACCGACATTGTAACAAATAAAGTTAAGCAAGTACTCAACAAAAAGCTAAAATACCGGGAAAAAAACTTGGATATTTAAGAGAAAAAAAATGTCAGAAAGCAAAAAAAGATACACGTCTCGAAAAAAAAGGAAAAAAGTTTACAGTGCACAATAAACACAGATTTATGCTATACACAAACCCATTCAAACCAGCCTGTTTATCAAAAGATAAAGATAGCGGTAATACTACGATATTGGTAATACTGCAATAGCTGTAATACTACATATCTCTAATCGATACCATCATTCTGAATCAATCATGGCTTGTCCTGCCATTAACGCTATGCTCGACTATTGCTTTCTAGAATATTCTATTTTTATCATAAATTTTACTTGGAAAAAGCCCTGAATTATCCAAAGAATGACAACTTCAGAATCGTTGTCGGTGCGACATCATTATTCTTCCCGACTCAATAGATTCCTTATTACTGCCAAAAACTGCTTAACCGAAACCCGGCAACACAATCACTTGTTTTCATTTTTTATCGAATGAGAACCAGCAAACTGAAACGTCGTCACACATTTTTCTAAACTTGTATCAACAATTTCTAAAATGATATTACAACAGCTTCAGCTCAATAAGAATAATGAACCAGCTTTACTCTGAGTGTTGTCGCGGATCGCTTAATTTCCAAAACTATGCAATTATAAGCAATTTGCTTATTTTTATAGCAGAAAACACATTTGTCTGAACAATCCTAATAAGGGATTTTCAAGATTTATGTGAAAACTATATTGGTGTTCATAGAAAACACAATTCTGTTCCCAGTTATTAGTTCTGATATTTCAAAGCAGAAGTTATAAAATTAATTCGTACGAAGTAGAGAAATAAAAAAGGAAAAATTATGGGACTCAAATTAAAAATGTACTATAAGAAAGCAAATGAGGACGATGAATTTTCAATCTCCTACAATTCCTGTCATAAAAGAAACATAAATTTACCACTGGGACGGAAAAAATTCTCGGTGAGTACGGCGAAGCCATGGATGGTCGATCATAGTCGGGTACAGATATTGATTCACCATTATTCGAACTCAGTTGATCGTCATCGAAAGTACAGTACAGGGTTGCAGGACTTGGTGCAGCAGATACTGAGTGAACACTTTCTAGTAAACTCAGACTTTCGGCCGAACCAGTTGCAGATGGAGCAGTGCTTGCTGCTCGAAGTTTGGAATGACTAGATCCTGACAACTTAGAGGATGTTGCTGCTGATTTTGCGGCCACATAATCCCTAAAAAGAGACTACATGTCCCAGTTGCTGGTCGAAAAAACTTGCAATTCCTGACCAGTAAGCAAGTACCTTTTCTACCTTCAGCGTTATCGACTGCTCTCTGAAGCACGATACTGGGAAAAAAATGAAGCAGGTACCGGGAAACCCCAGAAAATTTATATGTTGAAACAATCAAAGTACGTATGTTACAAATTTGCACCACAAATACTATCTCATTTCGAACATTTTCCCGATAAATGATTTATTACACAAAAATTAAAATAAAATTCCCAACGTCTTAAGGAATAAATCGTTTACCCAATTCCCGTAACAGTGTGGTAAGGGATTAGCCCTTTGATAACCAAGTTATTTATAATCTTTGGTTTTTAGTTTGCAATTGGATCTGACAATCCAGCTTATATACATTGTTGGGTATATTCAGTTCCAATTCTCTAATCTATAATCTGTCTCTAAAAAGTCTCTAATCTGATAACCGTGCAATCACTGAATATAAATTCAATGGTTGACAAGTCTAGACTTCCGTTTAGTTCATCACATTCTTTTATCTGAGAATTAAGTAATGCATTAGTTTTGTAAACCACACCCACTATATAGGAAGTTCCCTTTACTGATCGAAGATGTTTTCATACGAAGTGCAACAAGTCATCAGATCCACAGCTTCTTGCGATTCCACAAGTCTTCATATTTTAAACTCCATTTCAACTACACAACAGGTTAGATTCTCGTCTTACGCTAACAAGAAACTCAAACGTATCTGTATATTCGCTAATGATTTACGAATAATAAATCTACCACTACCATCAATAAACCCTTATCAAACTTCTTGCGTCCGTGTTAAGCAACACAAAGGAACTTCATCGTCAATCACCTCTGAAGCAAAGACAAAAAGAAAAATCCCGACAGTAGGAGAATTAGCAATCAAGATAATTTACAAATTAAAAAAAAGTATGCAAAATAAAACCTGTACTGTTGAAAACGTTTTCGTTCGTTCAATTCATATGGCAGATGCCGTCTCGATATGTTTGCTACACATGAGCATTCTGCCAGATGCGTGCATCCTGAACCTTCCTCCGACACTAGTTTTAATGGCTTTCGTTCCCAGCTAGAAAGAGTATAATCATCTAAACCATCTTTCTTCTGGAGCGCAAATATATGTCAAAATAAATAGTATTGCTACGAGCTACAAGCACTGATTAAAATTTATATCACCCAGCCTTCTTCTGCAGCAAAAAATTCATTCTCAAATTCGACGGATTTTAGATAAGCCAAAATAGCGCAAAGATGGGAAAAATGAAAATTCCATTTGCAAATAAAAAAAGTATAATAAAATCCTAAAGTACTTACTGTGGTATACAAATTTCTTTATAATCAATTTTCTGAGGGAGACCGGGCATTGGTTCCACGAGTCCATCTTCGACATCATTTGTGCGAAGCAGCCGAAGTCGATGGTTAGTAAATCTACGGTTCCGGAAATCTCCGTTCCTCTTTCGATCCAACGATCTTCCCACAAGGTTTTGTCCAGCACGTTTCAACGTTAATGGTCGTTTACACTAAAAACATGGATGCTAACAAAGCATCGTTTGAAATAAATACGGCTCAATTTAAAAAAATGATTTGAAAAATGAAAATAGGAGTTGTTTGTGTATATTATTATTTGTGTTATTATTTTCTAGGGTGACTTCGTGTAATAGATGATCATTTGATGACCCTGTATGGTCCAATGTTTAGTTAAAGTCAACTAAGAACCAACCGTCAGTCGTTTTTTTAACTCAAAACTTCAAATGTACCTCAGTATGTTTTTACTGTTCATCCCTAGTCAATTCCCGTCACACAAGTGATAGAAGTTCAGGCTCAATTTCAGGAAAGAAAAGCAAAAACAGTTCAACAATTACATATGAGCTTCGATGAGAATAATTTGTGGGCGGTTGGTAATCCTCGTCATCATCATAACTTTCTTCGCTCTCACTTCTCTCTCGCTTTCTTCTTGTCTGTCTATCATCCACTATGACTGCTTCCTTTACCGCTACTTTTCGCTCCTCCAAAAATGTAGTCCATGGAGAGCGATCAAATCTTAAAATTTTGCAGCTATAAATACATTGTAAACACATATAAATGCACACATACGCAGATGCAAGGACTCATACCTTTTACGCAAATGTATTATTGGGCGAGTCGATCTTCGACGGCAATAGACTTCAGCACCTCGCTCTACAGGCACTGCTGTAAGAATGAAATTTGTTTTTTGAATAATTATAAAAAAATTACTACCTGGAACTCCCCATGATCCATAGCATCTTTTGCAAAGAAATATATGATCAATGGATTAAGATCCTACGTTGAAAATGATAGCGTAATATAGAGCAAATTGAGATTTATATGCTACATTGGACACTGATCAAAAAGTAATCGAAATCATATGTGTTTCAACTTCGAGAGAATTTTAGTTATTGTATGAATGCTTCATGAAACTCCTTGTTTTTAATTCTACGAGTTTTAATGGTAATTAAGAGAAAAAGACCTGTAAGCAAAGGAAATGCAGGATAAACTCGGTTGTCCACATCAGCGTATGCCCGCACGCGTTCACCAGTATCCAGTGATATAGGGATTCCACGTTCAGTGAGACCATTTTTCCCTATCTTATCCACTCTAAAGATGTTACATATACAGACTATGCGCAGCAGCATAATGAATCTAGACGTGAATGGTGAATTAAGTATGAGAATTAAAAACAAACTTTCTCCTTTTCAAAAAACGCCTTCTTTTACCATCAAATGGTAAGCATCTCGCACAGCATTCGTTCAAAGCTTCGTCATTCCATGCATATGCCTTCTTTTTTTGTCTTCGAATGTTGTTCAGCTGAAATGCACATTATCATGATATAACACAGGGTGAAACTCAAAAACTGACCAATTTAGGATCATGAAGTGGCAGATTTTTTAGGATTATCTAGAAATCTCTGGTGGAAAATGATATAGCTCATGATCAAAATCCTTATTTCATACTTCAAAATGTTTCAGGACAAAATAATAACAAATCCTTACTTACTACATCGAGTTAGGCATTACATTTTTTAATTCAGTTATTTATTACAAACATTATAAAGCGATATTTAACCACACAAATATACGAAATGCCACCAATAATCAGAATCATCTTAAATCAAAAAACGGTAATGGTCAGTAGTTGAGCAACTGCAACACGCAACATACACGAACATGAATGGTTTGTAATAGAATGTGATGAAACAGAAATGAACCTGACGATATACAACATTTATTTTTTCTTCACAGTCCTCTTCCATACAGAGAGCTTTTGCATCTAACGCACCCAAACGAACTCGTTCATCGAAATATGCATGAGATGACAAGCTCCTGAACAGATCACCTCAGTTGAATTAAAAAGTAAACTCAAAGAGGTCCACAGAAAACAAGTATGTATAACGAAGTACCCGTATGGTAGATAAGCATTCGATGTTGATGGCATCTGTTCCTCCCTTTCCCCATCACTATTTTCGGATTCGGTTGCATCCGCATCCGTAACATATTTCATTAGTCGTCTATCCGCAGATATTCTAAAATACAAAGCAAATGACTACCAACGATAAATGAAGTGATATTTCTAATTGCTTTAATTTTTACATAATCTTTGTTAATGGATTATTAACAAATGCCTCGTCATATGGAAGGCAAAACACACTGTCTCTGCAGAATACAAAATACAAAGGTCACCTTTCTTTCCATAACGAAGTGACCTTCTCTGCAGGCTATTCGGCTCTGAACATAAGAATGAATAAAATACCCTAACATATATTAAAAAACGTCACAAAAACATACGAATTTTGAGCACCCTTAGTCAGTTTTTGGGGAGCGATAGCTGAACCATCACCGAAAACATGATCCGAAACTTCTTTTGATAGAAAATCACTAATCGCAAAGTGATTCTTGAAACGCTGTAGTAAATTAACCAGTTGACTAAGATGAGCACGTTCAAGCTGAAAGTATGAGCGTGAAGAATTTCTTGAGCATTTACTACTAATGTGTGATGAGCAACGAACTTCGAACCATTTAGAAAAACCCTCTTTAAAAACATTGAACCTGAATGCGAACAAAAAATGACATACATGTGGAACGCTTAATGCCAGACCGTTCTTATCACGTAATTTTCCAATTTTCTCTTGCAATATTTTCCGATTCAAACCATCTTTATTGTCCACAACAGTACTAAAAAATTTTAAAAACTGCAAAATGTAATAAGAGACAATCAAGTAATCAAGTACATACAGTAATATAGAGCAGCACGACTTTCAAAAGTTGCACAAAGAATGAAAAAGATAGCTTTAGCTATTAAGAAACAACCGAAACAAGTACAACACCCAAATAAACTTAATTTGAAAACGGATTCAGTTATTAAATCTGATTTATAGTATAGCCCACTTATACTGTCTTCATTAAGCATAATAAAAATCAGATTATAACCGCGAAACAAAATAATGAAACTGAAAACAGATTACTAAAGCCAGAAAGTGGAGAAAATTGGGTAATTACACTATTTACAAGACATCAAGTCCTCTTTTACGTTCTGTGGTATGTGTTAATCAGACATCAGAAAACTCTTTTATACTAAAAAGAAAACAGGTGAAAAAAAAGCATCTAAAAAGCAAAACCTGCATATGTCCTACCAGAATTAACTTACCTCGGACTGATTTTTTTGGGATAACCTCGTTTGGTTACAGTTCTCGGTTCATTTATGTCGTCCTGCATTGGTTTTCGTAATAAATCAAGCGCCTTATTCAAAATTTGCTCACTAGGAATTTGTAAATGATCTTCACCTGCATTCACGACTGGTAATGACGAGGATGGCGCGAAATATGCAGTTGTTATTTGTTCATCCTAAATAAATCCGAGCTCAGCTTCCATTTACTATCCGTGAAATCAAAAGTATTTTTCTTGAAAACATTTCACTCAACATGAAAAGATTCAGTTTGCAATTTTGTCCCTAAGTTTGTATTCATTAGCCGTTTTATCACATACCTGAATTTTTGTTTTTTTTGTTGCAATTCCTTTACATTTGTGGAAATTTCCCGTTCTGTACAAAATATTTCATTGGCATTAGTATGTGTCGAAGTTTTGCATGAACCGGAGTGTTGTGAACGTTTGTTAATTCGAAATGGCAGTGACGTTTGAGCCAAAATAGAACCGTAATGATTTGGTGATAAAGGAGCTGTGTTTATTAGCGATCGTCGAGGTACTCCTTGATGAACATCGGCTGTGGGAAATGACTCTTGTTTAGGAACATTGGGACAGATCTGTCGACTCAAATCGGTGCTTCCGACATGATTTCTGTTCCCACAGGGGACATAAATAGAAAGCTTTGTTGTGATATCCTGTAAAGAAAATAAATTAACTACTTACTAACGGTAATCAAGCTTTTGTTGTTCATTCGAACAAATCTTTCCAGTTTTTCCTTGTAAACTGCTTACTAATTTTTAATACAACCATAAAGCCCTTACATTATTTGTCCGATGAAGCGCAACAAAGCTGAGACTTTTTATCCATCCACTGCATTTTAAATGAATCACAACACAGTGCCGTACTAGGTTCTCAGAAGAGGATAACAACACAAACTAAAATGCTACGTCTAGCTAGGCTATCCTAGCCAAACCAATCTTAGTTCAGGAAGCTAGAAAAATTTTCTGCTGAACTTGACAGCACTTAGATATTACTTCATCCAGCTATTTAGCAAAGTAAAAAACATATGAATATTTCTTCTATATGAGAATGTCTTGGGCAAAATACCTTGCCGGATTCCGTTGAATCATCAGTAAACCGATTTGAGTTTCCCATATTAACTGATGTTTTCAGATTACATTTTCCATTTACCAAGCTTAATGCTTGATCCACCTGCTCGTTACCAGTTTCTTTTGATGCTGGACTTTCTTTTGAGGTAGACGGTTCAGGATCATGAGGACAACTACTGGAATCAAAGCAACGACCCTCGAACGGCTGTTCTGCAGCCAACACTGGGTTTGTACCATTTGCTGAACAAACCTAGAGAACTATGATACGTTACTGTTGTATGTTTGTAGACCAAACATCATTGAACAGTGAAGGATATACTTTTCACCAACATCTTTCAGTTGCTTTAAATACATGGGATACAGCATTTTATAATAGCTCCTTTGTTGAATTTCATACTAAGTGCTTAAAACCATAAAGTAAAAAGCAGTAAGGTAAAGAAAAAAAAGTTTTAGAAATTGGAGGAAATTTACAAAATAAAATACGCTTTGTATCCCGGATGGCTCACTTGCACTTCAGGTACCACCTGACCATGATAAGAAAATTCTTTTTTGTATTACTGAAGTAATTTAAAAATTTCAAATGTGAACTAACCTCACTGCCCTTTAATTGATGAATTGAAAATACAAAAGGATCGGAAGGCACATCTTCGTGAGCTTCAGAGAGCTGCATTCCATGCCTCAAGTTCGAATGTTCAGAAGTAAGAGCATCTTTTACTTCTGGTGGTGACATATTATGATCCAAAAGCAATGAAGGAGGTCGCAAAGTCGTTGTAATCTGATCATTACTCATGCCAGCAGCCTCATCATCACAATCATTTTTGATGCTACGCATCTAAAACTTTATTCTAAATAAGATATTATTGAAAGTCATCTTAGTTCTCAACAAATCAAAACGATTACATATTCCACCTAAACACTGCTCTTTTTGCCCCTTATCCATTCTGCAGTTGTCAGTATAGAAGGGAAAGTTGCCAATTCCAGAAACGAAACTGTAGCTTATCATTATATATCATATCTCATGGCAAGAAATTACATAACAATCTTTCAGTAAGCAGAATAAACAAATAAATAAATGTCTGTTCAATTAAGGTAAGAAATTATCCTTGATCACGATATAAAAAGAAAAAAATAATTACAATGAACTGTTCACTATTAGCCGGCGTTGCAGATATATCAATCACAGTTCCGAGTCCCATTGAATTCTCCTTGCGCCCACCACCGCCTCGACATAACACAAATTCCTCCGTATATTTTGTACGGCCTCCAAAAGTAAATTTGTACGTCCTGAAATGATGGGACAATTCTAAAAAATTTAAGAGTGAATTCATCATGGAAATAAAACGAGTTATTGCAAGTTTGAGTCGAATAATCATATTTGCAAGAACAGCTGAGGCACATAAAAGTGGCTTCAGTCCAACGGAAAAAACAGCGAGTGATGGAAACTGAACGTAGGAAGATTGAACCGGTACACTTACATACTCTCGATATGAAAGAAATCTTTTATAATTTATTTAATTTCCACCATGTCCTAATTTCATTTCATCGTATCGTACCTGCATAAATATCTTCCTGTATCAACTCATAATAAAATCAAGATAAATATAAGTTTTCCAGAACTCCAAGCTCTAAATCTCTTTTTTCATACTTGTGAAACCAAATATATCGGCTAAAGTCTTTGCACTTATATTCACCAACACTATATACCAGTCTCTCCTTCATTCCCACATTACCTTATGCGAATTTCACTTTACCAACCACATACTTTTTCGTTTACCAAACTGAAATGTCCTTAACGAAGTAATAATAACAGAATCTTTTGTTTCCCGTAATTTACAAGTCTGCTGCAGTTTATCATAATTATAAATGAATCATAAAGCCTAATGGATCCGCCAAACTTGCTTAGAAAACCATGTGTCAAATCCTATATGCAACACAGTTACCATTCTGCAAAACTAAGACATCTAATTTTCCAAACAATAGTATGGCTAAATGTCGTGAAAAAAGCAGCTTAACTAACAGAACAAAGAGAAATCTATCGCTTTTCATGTAAATTCGATGCACCAACGACATCTCGGAATGACAACATATGCATGCTCGTTAAGTAGGTACCAACCATGCGAAACTATGGGACAGAGAGACATTTTAAGAATGAAAGTATACGCCACATAAATATATGACAGACATACGTGACTGATGAATTCATTAAGAGCTTATAGTTCATGTAAGTGACATAAAAAATAAAAACGAAAGGAAAACGCGGACCAAGACTAAAACTAACTGAGGTTTTTATAGTGCTTCGAAGAATAAGCCAGAAATGAGAACCACTTTCAGCAACAAAACTAGAACCGGAGGCGATAATATCCTCATGTGGTGTAGGTGGAAAATGTGCATGCGGAATAGACAAATCACCCAACTAGTCCTGCCGCACCGCCTCTCCTAGCCTTCCACTGATGCTAATGGCGACGCGACGCGATCCTGTATGTATGCACATGTCGGCACTCATGAAAAAGCATACAATACAGAGAGTGTGCTAGAGAAAGAGGATGTTGCGAAAGAATTAAGAAATAATGAGCATGATGAAAGGATATGAAAAAGAGAGAGGAGAGAGGAAGAGGACGCCTCGCATAGTGCGCACACCATTCGCACACGCCACTTTGCACGTTGGGCGGCGCACACCTTCTCCGCGCTGACTTTTGAATGTGTGCACTATGAGTCTTACAACGGTCACTACCGTATCCCAGGGATTTGCTTTAATTCGGAGTGATGGGAATCGCGCATTGGGAGAATAACGGTGGGTTGATCGTTATGTAGGGAGTCTCGACATCTCGATGGTGGTTTATGCGGGTTTTTGTTGCTACTTTGTTACTTTGGATGACTATGCATTACAGGAGTGAGCTATGAAGTGAGTTTCGGGATGGCTGTGTCAAACATAAAGGAGAAATATGCCGACTTTCTGGTGGATGGTGCTCAGGCAGTATCATTAACTTTTGGTGAGTCTCGTATCTCACTCTTATATTTTTTCATTGCTGTTACTATTTATTGATCACTTTGCAGTGTCCGATATGAACAAAATGGCTTCGGCGCAAAAACATCATCCCGAATATGTCTACCAGCACTTCGGAGAGAAGTAAGTCACTTCTCTCCAGATTTTGCTCTGATTCGTACCGGACCATTCACGCAAACCTTATCTCGATGCGCTACTCGGTAGATGTCTATCACATAGCCTGACTCTTCTTTGATGACTCTTCCTTTCAACACTTTCCCTACTACTTGGCAGTGCATTCGATCCTTGCTTTGTATACATCCGAAGCTAACAGCCTATAATTATTACCTATGAGTTATATTTTAGCGAAACAGTATTTGGTTACAAGGACCTAAATGTCATTATACATTACACCGACGTGTCTATGTATCTCTACCCGGAAATTAGTTATACAGCCGAAATAACATCGTTCACAACGGAGTTCAAAGTTCGTTTCCTTTCCTGATTCATTGTTTAAGTATCATAGATTTGCTTGTTATGGCACCTCGTTTTCATTTTAGGCTGACAATATAATTCGAAAATTAAGCGAACAGTTGCCAGCTGAACAAATGGAAATGTTATGCCAGACAAGCGCCATTTTCAAGTCTCGTTTGGATGATCAGAGAAATTTTCGGCCTTATGGACAGCTTCTTTTCAAATTCACCGCTGGCAAGTTATCTTCATTTTCAAGACTGGTTGATGCGTAAGCCATATTGTGTAATACAGTAGATATACGGCATGTCATCAGGATTTTCTGGGGGATTCTTTCCCGAGAATTTAGTTTCTGGAGGGTTTGTTGTTCGTAATGTTTCATGTCGGAATAGTTTTAGTTAATTTACTGTACAGAGATTTTTCACTTTCGGAAATAGTTGCTGTTTGGCTCCGAAAATTATAGTTTTCCCGGATTTTGAGGTTTTCTCTGATAGGAGATGTGATATCGTTTAGATTTCCAAATGGTTTCGTAATGGAAGGCAACTGTTCATGCATTAAATTTCGGTACTTCAGGTAGTCGAGAGCTGCAGGTCTGGGTGGTTAATGAAAGTTCACCTGAATTTGATGCATATTTAGCTCGAGTTCAGACTCTTGCCTTATGGTACATTGAAGCTGCACAGTACACAGATAATGATGATCCACGGTGGCAGCATTATTTCTTGTTCGTTTTTATAGTACCTTGTCAAACTTTTTTGGCAGCTGTATGAATGCTTCCTTTATTTGTCGTGCGTATTCCCAGTTTTAAGTTCATGTATGCCAAAATCTTGACTTTGAGCGCATTCCATCCATAGCATTATGTAATACGTTCATTAATAGCACCACTGCAGTTTGAAAGCGATTTCTGCATCACAAGTATATGGTGATATCCATGCTGCTTAATCCATCTACTGATATTAAATGCGAATGTTTCTGCTGACCATTTACACATGCTTTTGCAGAGTTTCGTTTCAGGTACGAATCATTTAAGAAAGATGGAATTTCGCGCGTGGCACTTGCGGGCTATGCATCACTTGTCAGATTTTATAATTATCCAGATAAAATTCGACCTAGGATTGCCCAGATTTTACTACTGCCACATTATCAAGGCGCAGGTATTGGTGCTAGATTTTTGAAGGCAATATATAACGACTTGATCCAAGATCCAAATGTTACAGACATTACAGGTTGGTATCAGTTTTGGCATCTTTCTGCCATTAAAAGTTTCAGTGCATATGTGACTGAAAATAAAGTAGTTTGAGATGCTGTTTTCATAATATGTTCGGTGTCCTTATAAATGGAAAACTGCAGTATTGTTTTTTTTTCAAACTGAAATGATGCATCTACCCCCTTCCCTATACCCAATTAATACAGAAATAATTGGCCAAATTATAGTAAAAGTATTAGAGCTATAGGATAGTTTGTTTCCTACCACTTATTGTTGAGCGATATCGCCAATGAAATGCTGCCCGGCAGTTTTCGCACTTTTTTTTTCGTTTCGAAAATATGATTATTTTAAGCGGAAGTCCCTGCAGAATCTTTCATAACAACTCGAGACTACGTGAACTGCTGTTATTGCTTAACCCTGAAGGAATTCAGTGCAGATAATTTAAAAAAAGGTTTCACCGAAGAGATGAAGAGTGCAGCCTTACGGTTTAAAATAAATCCAGTACGATTTTTTGTAGCGAGATTGTTTTGCGGTTATTTTTCCTTTTCTGTGATGAAATGAAATTTTAATTTAATTTTCAGTATATATGGAGCTAATATGTGCACATAGAGAGGTACGGTCTCCTTTTTTAATCATCCCATTAAATTAACGGACGGGCTTCGTTAAAAATTAGTTCTCTAAAAGTTGGAGTCCGAACTATTGTTTGCTAAAGCTTAAATTAACTGTTCCAGAAACAAGCACGGCGTGTTTATGAAATACTGCGTTTGCGTTATATCGGTGTGCGAGATGAAAAAGCCATGGAAGAATACCGAATGGATGTAAAGAAAAGACTTGAGAAACCTTTTAAAGTTAGTTTATTTCATTTCGGGCATACCTATATCTAGCAATCGGCGGATAACAATATTTTTAAGCACATCTTTATAAAATGAGGCTCATTTCTGACTATGTCTTTTGCTCTCTACACATATTTAAAATTGCCATTTGTAATGTTTTGATACCTTTTCAAATCTCAAATACAACTGCATTTGTAGCGAAGTGAACGTGACTGGAGGAAACTGTCAAGCGTTTTGGATGAGTATGAATATGCAGCAGTTGTAGCCAGTCAGATGAGTATAGAGCAGAAAACAGCCAAATTAGAACAACTCTATGAAGAAGAACTAGCCGGTTATCGCACTGTCATTAAACGATTGATCAATTTTGCTAATGGTTAAATATGCTTGTTATTCCCTGATCCTTAATTGAATTTCCATTTGTTGTTTCTCCTTGGTTGTGAAAATACTTCAAAGTTTCAACGAAGTGCATTACACATTTTGACCAGTTATTTGTCTTTTTAAGCGCACTTCCTGAATCAAATTTTCAAGTGTGTTCCTGATTTTTATTGAGATTAGTCTGTTTTTTTGAGCTGTGAATTATTTGTGAGGGTATTGATTGTTGTCGGGAAAGATCTAATTTATTTTTGTTGGGATTCCGCTTCGTCAACAGTAGCATTCATTCCACAATATCGCGTTTATACAATAACAAGAACGAAATGAACAACACGGTAAATATTAAAGGATACCAATAGTCTCTGAATGTTCACTTCGTTTTCGTACTTCATTCTTGTAACTGTCATTCTCCTTTGCTCCATCACTACTGTTGATCTTGCTTCTACGCTACTGTCGATTCACTTGAACTGTCGCTCCTGATGATCTGTCGGATTACCAATCTTACTGCCGTCGAACCGTCCTCAGAATTGAATTCGAACTGGACCCTAATCTTAGAAGTCCTTACCTTATACATCCTCCGGGACCGCTTCACAATGATGCTAAGATCGTATCTGGCTGAACCACTACTGTTCTGGCGGTAAATTTCATTTCCAAATGGGCTTGCAATCTTTGCCTTGTTCACCAGATATATTATTTGTTTGAACTTCAGTGTATCTTGCTTACGTGTGGGTCGGCACCTACTGTATGTGTTCATCCTTTCGGCTCGTTGACCTTTTTGGGTACCCATATGCTATTTGACCTCTTAACTTTCCTACATCTAACTACATTTTTTGGCTTCGCCGACATTTCCGACTGAATAAGTCCAACATCTTCAGGCGGTCTTGC